CTAAAAGTGATTTGATTTGATTTGATTTGAACTTCCTTGTTTTTAAACTGAGTTGTCAGAGTATCTTAGTAACGCTAAGGGTGGGATAGATGTTTATCTTCCATGAGTCGACCAATATATTGCTTTTTCAAAAATCACCAAATATCAATAATAGTATCAGTCCCAAAAATTCTATATTGGCTAGGCTCTATTTGAAATCAAACTGACTTGGAGTTAGTTATATTGGACAGAGGTTAATCACTGTATCCACATTAGTCCATTTTTGTCTGTGTTTATTGTTATAACTGTGTTATCTGTCTCCACACACACATAAACCGTAGATTTGAAAAATTGTTTAGTATCAATGGTAAAGGGGTTAGCACTGTCACCTTACAGCAAGAAGGTCCTGGGTTTGAATCCATTGGGTCCATAGTGTCTGTGTCAGCTGTGGAACAGACTGGAAACCTGTCCAGAGTGTACCCCACTTCTCACCCTATGATAGCTGGATTTGCTCCCAGCAATCGTAGATGGGTAGATGGAGAGATAGAGATTTCTCGCTCCTGATAAGCCATACATCAGCCCCCTTTGAAGAACCCTGCAGTAGAAACTGCCCTTTCAAGGTGTTTCAGTGGTAGTTTGACTGACACTACTCACATCTGGGAAAATGAACTAAATTAAAGGCGCAAATACTCCAGAGCTCAAACAAACCACTACAAACACGGCTGGCATGAGCACACACACCTATGCTCATCTTCTTTACACCTGATATCTCTCGCCAATCTGCACAATTTTTGTCTTTCAACTTTCCTCTTGCTGCTTCTCTTTCCTCTAACAGACTAATCTTTAGCTGCTCTGTCTGAGCTTTTCCAACTTTGTAAAAAACCCTTTTGACTGATTATGGATGATTCCAGGAGAATGACAGCAGCTTCAGTTCTGTGTGTGTGTGTGTGTGTGTGTGTGTATGTGAGTGTGTGTATGCGGGTCTGTACTGATAATAGTGTGTGGCGATGTCTGTGTTTAACATTGTGTTTTCACGACTTTGACTGAAACTCTCAGATGAGAAGCCAATTGATTGAGATGGCCCCAATTAGTCTCCACGATTAATTGAGTGTGATTGGATGTCGTCCATGGCACCTCATCATTAGACGTTATTGACGGTCTAATTAGTTGCCTTGGTGACCGTTTAAACACAGTTGATTGTGTGTGACAGTGAAACGACCCCACCGCAGCCAATCATGCATACCTCTTGCTTGTATGTGTGTGAGAGTATGCGTGTTTGACCGAATACACCTTTAGGGAGGTGTTCCAAGAAATTTACAAGGATGTTGCAGGAAAAAACAACAACAAGATGCTGCTAGATTATGCTTAATATTATTATTGTTATTATTATAGCCACCATGCCATAATAAGTGTGCATCCAGAGAGAGAAAGTGCTGAGATAGGAAGAAAAAATATTTTTGGTTCTGAAACTGTGGCCGCAGATTAATTAGATCCACTCAGTAATTATAAGTGGTGACTGGAACATTAAGAAACTGTGGATAAATCACACAAGCAAAAGTGGTACTCACATCTGATAGAGTAAGTCACTTTGCATCTTTTTTTCAGACCCAGGGAACGTTTGCCGCTGATGAGATATTTGGCATTTCCATTTATTTAATCAAAAATGTAACAATTATTATAAATCACTTCAAAGAGTGATCTCAATTTAAATAGGCTATCTAGCACTGTGCAAAAGTTTCAGACATTTTTGATTTTTTGACTTTTTGCTGTAGGAATACTTATGATTGATCCCAAATTCACTCTGTAGCATGATGCAATTAACCCAGACGCACAACCAGGGTCCTAAATAACCATTTTCAGCAAAGACGAGAACAGTCAATCCTGAGATGATGTGAGTCCCACAGAGCTTAAGTGTATCTCGGAGAATAAGGGCTACTTTGAAGTCAGGCCAGTCATACTGGAAATTTAGATGTAGATTTTATTTAATAACAACAAGGACTGGATAATTCACTTTAAATATACTATGGTTTCAGTAACTCTAGGTAGTGTTGAAAATATACATTTAATTACATTGAATTGAAGTAAAATAATCATTAAAATAAAATAGAATTCATTTTGATTCTAAATTGGAATATAACCTAGTGTTTATTACCACTGTACTGACATTTTAAATTAGAATTACACCATCCCTGCATAAATCATCACAATAACTACTTTCCCGAAGTCATTTGAGTTGCCTCTTTCTAAATCTTATCAAGATGCTGCTGTTTGAAATATTCACTTTCTTCTCACATTGGTCAAAACAACAGATAGATAGATAGATAGATAGATAGATAGATAGATAGATAGATAGATAGATAGATAGATAGATAGATAGATAGATAGATAGATAGATAGATAGA